TGATGAAGCAGCCAGATGGCAAAGTACGCAGGACAATATTTCTGAATCTGGGACAATGTCACTGTTTAATGCAGTAGGAGGGGAACAGCCAGATGATATTCTTTGGGCCAAAGCAATTTTATCTGGCCCCTGGTGGTGCTACTGGATTTTAATCAAGGCCTGGAAGTTTGCTTGAAGTTTTGCTTTTGCGGAAACCTTGTTTCCAAAATTGCACTACTCTACACATTTCTCTGTGGATTTTATACGCGATGCTCCAGCTGATACCGTATTGGCCCGAATATAAGCCGCATCCGAATATAAGCCGCACCTTTAACGCCTGGGACAGGCACTGCTTTGCCATGCTCCTGGCTGTATACCGTAAAGTCGTGAATATAAGATGCACTTTAACTTTTCACAGTCGGAATTGGGGGGGGGGGAGTGAGGCTTATATTCAAGCCAATACGGTAATTGCCTGGAGACATTTTTCAGGGCCTGTCCACCTGCAAGTGGGTCAGTTTGTGAAGCAGTTCCACACAAATTAGTGACATTTTTGCAACAGGACAAATGGCCAGAAAGAGGGGCTCTAATGACAGAGTGGTAGAAGAAAATTTAGGGAAGATGTGCATTGGCATAGTGTTGATTTACAACCACATCACGGAAACATGGAAGAATAATTGAATATGCTTTTTTAAAAAAAAATAAAAACATTTACAGAAGGAACAATGGTCTCCCTTTATATAATAACAAGATTCAGGCAATCAAGGTATTGGATAATGGAGTTGCTTGCTTGCTTAGCATTTTCACTGCACATCTCCATCGTCTCCATCCTTAAAACAGCAATGCAGAGCATGAGCCATATGGTTTTTGCAACCAAGCCAGCTCTTCAAAACAAATACCTATTCTAAGAATTCTTCCAGCAAATGCTCTGAAATTTATATTTGACTGCATACCAGACAGCTGGTTATTTTTAATCAACGGATGTTAAAATCAATTATATGAACTTAGAGAATGAAACCGACCCATATTACCGCAGCCCTCTGGACAATTAATGTATGCAATTCACCTCAGTCAATTTCAATAGCCATTAAGCTGATGTTGATAGACTGGAGGCAGAGGATGCAAAATGAAAGACCTGGTTCTAACACGGAAGAGTACTGATAAGTTAATGCACTTTGCTTGAATAATGTGCAACATTACGCAAGACTCTTCCGTCTTAATGGAGCCTGGACAGAAGGGCCAGACCTAACAGGTCTTTCTCTAGTTAGTTAGTGGTTAAAGAAACACTCAGGGGAATGAAGCCATTTGTTTGCATGTCTGCATACAGAGGAAGTACATGGTCAGGAGAAAATTATCCGGTTACCATTGTGATCATCATATGTACAGAGGTGAAAAGCCTCTCTGAAATGTCACCGCTCTTACTGGAAATTGTTTTGCTTCCCTAAAAAACCCTACGGTGGCCTTCCCAGGCAAGGTTCTCCAAACTCGCCTTGGAATTTCAATTTGGAGACATTTAAAGGTAACTTCCAAGTCTTAAAAAAAATATTGACAGCGTGTGAATATCTGTTTGCTAAACAAACAGAAACACGTGGAAACAAAGTGGACATGCCTCATTCAGCTCCGTCTCATGTGGAACGGGGATGGGATGGACATGGGCTGGTGCAGTCATCCTTAAATTCAGCATCCTTCAGTGCCACTCCTGAGATGCACATTACATGGCTATCTGAATTCCATGTTCTTCCTGCAGGTGCAAAGTTAGCACCTAAGGGAAGTCACTTTAGCCTTTTTCCTACTGGGCTAGATTTCAAGTTGCAGAATAATGTTAACATGGGAAGGCGCTTAAAATGGTGACCCATAATATGCACATCCAAGTTATCTTCTTGTGAGCTTCACAGGAAGGAAGGAAATTAATCTGTGCCATATTTTCTTGTCCATGGGTACCAAGTAATCTTCAGAGTTGAGAAGGGTTTTTAATCTGCATCTCACACATTTTATCCACTGAACCAAGGAGTATTGTGACTGCGTGATTTACAGTCATCCCTAAATTGCAAGAATGAGAAGCTCGCAGAAAAATTTAGTAACTTTAACTCACAACGCTTAATACAGATTTTTAAACATGCCTACATCTTCTCTTGCCTCATATGAAATAACTGCTTCAGAGCAATTACTATTTGCATTTTGATATTTTTTTCCCACCTTTCTGTTACCTGTACCTGGTAAGGTATTAAATTGGGGTCACATCTTGAGATGCAACCCTACTTTCAAGGTGATTTCTTTGAAAGCCAAGTTTACTGGCTGCACATCAAACGACAGAAATCAATGATGAGACTGAAAGGTCCTATGCTGTTCATTGGGTATCAAAACAAACAGCACAACCCAATTTCACTTTGATAATGGAAATTCTCTACACTGATAGGTTGTCGCTAGGCTAGACACATATGAATGCTAACAGGCAGCCCCTTGACTAACAAGCACATCTAAGACCTGAGCAACTTAATACTTGTTCCGTAACTGCTTAGCTTATTGAGATTCATTTCAGTCTCCCAACTTTAAATTATTAGGGCTTCTATATTCAAGAGCAATTTAGTTCCAGAAGACTAGCTGTGTCAGAGCTACTTCAAATTATATTCCCACCCCTCAAAGAGATAGCCAGCAAACACTTTTTTGATGTTGTAACACTCAGTGCTGATGAGCATAATAGACTACTATTTGTACCAGCTAGTGGCATGAAAAGTCTGCACCAGGCTGCCATGAACTTGTGGTATTAACATGTAAACTCTCTAGGCATTTTAAGTCAATTAAAATGTATTTGGGGGGAAACAGGCTGGAGATAATAGAAACCCTCTTTACAGCAAAGAAATGCAGGTTGTTTACACAATACTATGAGAGAGTCTACACGCTGGCTGATGGCATGACCCACAATCAGGGGTGGTGGAAGACTCAGATGAGGACAAGGTTCAAACTACGTCCTCAGGGCTCAGGACATCAGAAGATGAGTCCCTTCTACCTCCCCAACCCTGCAGAAGCCAAAGACTAAAAAAATAAATGGAAGCCCTTTAACCAGTTGTCCAGCTCCTCCAGTGAGGCAGAGCCCACCATACTCTTGGCCTGCTCAGCCTACATGTTGCTTCATTTTACTATGCGATAATCCACTTTGATTACAGCTCCCTGCAGAGACAACATCACTTGAAGCAGTTTAAGCAAGAGGGATCTTGGAGCTGTCCATGGTCCTATATGCTTTCTACTCGATTTGGGGTTGTATTCGACTAACAGGGCCTAAGTTAGTCATGGCCATTAATTTTAATGGGTCTACTCTGAGCAAATGTTAGTAGTTTGGATTTGATATCCCGCCTTTCACTCCCCTTAAGGAGTCTCAAAGCGGCTAACAATCTCCTTTCCCTTCCTCCCCCACAACAAACACTCTGTGAGGTGAGTGGGGCTGAGAGACTTCAGAGAAGTGTGACTAGCCCAAGGTCACCCAGCAGCTGCATGTGGAGGAGCGGGGAAGCAAACCCAGTTCACCAGATTACGAGTCCACTGCTCCTAACCACTACACCACACTGGCTCTAGTTGACTAAAATCCTTGGACTCTGGACTGGCCACTGCCTGCCTTCCCTGCGAATCTCATGCTCCTACAGAACAGGACAGCTGATTCTTTATGCTTATGAAATGTGACAGAGCAATAAAATACATTAAAAAGAAAATAATCAGCTGTCTTGTTCTGTGGGAGCATGAAATTTAATTTAAAAGGCAACAAACATCAACAAACATGTCAGCTTGTCTGTCATTCCTTTGAAAAAGTTAGAACCGCTACTTAGAACCCATTTGTAATGCATATTAAAAACTCTAATACAATAGGTCTCTCTATCAGCGGTTCTCAACCTGTGGGTTCCCAGATGTTGTTGGACTACAACTCCCATCATCCCTGAGCTCTGGCCTTGCTAGCTAGGGATGATGGGAGTTGTAGTACAACCACACCTGGGGACCCACAGGTTGAGAACCGCTACTAGCTGTTTCCATGGGTCTGGGGAGGTTGTCGCAACTGATCGTCGCTTCTCTTATGTGAGATGAATGGATGCCAGGTGTTCTAGAAGGATAAAGGGCTCGTCTTGCCTTTGGCCACCGTGACTTGGCAGGTCAGTTTCTCGGCCAGAGCAACAGGCCACACCTGAGCACACCATGAGCGTACTGACAGTCTTCTTGCAGAGCACCAACATTTAGCAATTTCTAAGCCAGCATCTCCCAATGAGATAAAGGTTGACTTGATTCATCTGTTTGTTCCTAGCAAGGCTAACAAAGGAGTTGGGTTTATCTTTATATTACAGATTAATCCCGTTTCTTCGAAGACTGCTGACCAAAAGCAATACACCTTGTCACACTGCCACCAAAGATATAGAAATGTTCCTGTGGCATTGCATCCCTCTCACGGCAACACTGGGGGCTTAATCTACTTGGATTCAAATTGTTGTTGTTGTTGTTGTTTAGTCGTTTAGTCGTGTCCGACTCTTCGTGACCCCATGGACCAGAGCACGCCAGGCACTCCTGTCTTCCACCGCCTCCCGCAGTTTGGTCAGGCTCATGTTGGTAGCTTCAAGAACACTATCCAACCATCTCATCCTCTGTCGTCCCCTTCTCCTTGTGCCCTCCATCAAATTACAGTAAGATAAAATGCAATATATAATAAATAAAAGAAGCAATTGAAGATATAAATAGAGATTACACAACATCTAGCACAGTGCACTACAACTACTGGAACGGGAAGAAAAATCACTAAGTGGTCCACAAAAGACCTTCAGCAATTTTCAAGTGGCCCACAGGGGGGAAAGTTTGGGAACTGCTGCAATACATCCTAAGGCTTCCAGCTGGCAGATCTTGAGTATAGCCTATATATGTAAAACATCCTCATATTTCTCTCAGTTTTATGCTGGAGACTCCCTTCATCCAGTTTTGCTGTGAGTTATTACTCCTGCTGAATCTACCATAATACTGACAGCAAAATATGAAAGTGCAAGTATATACTGTACCTTGTTTTACCTGTAAGGAACACACACCTGACAAAAGGCAATCTTCACATCCAGGGTAGGTTCACTGCAGTAGTATAAGAAATGGCGGCTCATAAATACCTGCAATTCAAAGAACAGCAGTATGAGTGCTGGGCATCTATTTCGCATGTGGAATGATGTAGATATTTAAACATTTATACGTAAATTGCATCTGTTGGAGCTGCTTGGGCAGGCTTGGTAGTAAGAGAAGCGCAGCCTCAGAAAACGAATGATATTCATTTGGGTACTATATTCTAGGATAGCTCAGTCGGTGCAACATGAGACTTTTAATCTCAAAGTCGTGGGTTCGAGCCCCACGTAGGGTAAAAGATTCCTGCCTGGCCAGGGGTTCGACTAGATGAGCCTTGGGGTCCCTTCCAACTCTAGAATTCTATGATTCTAATTTCCCCCCCAAAAAAAGTAGGTGATCTGTTTCCACAACAGCACGGACATAGAGCTCTCTCTCTCTCTCTCTCTCACTCACTCACTCACACGCACACACACACACACAGAGAGAGAGTTTATGAGAGGGAGCTGGGCAAGCCTTGCAACTTGATGGGGGCACTGGCCAGACTGAGCAGGCTGGTCTAATGTCCTTAGATTTTTATCTGGCTGGCCACTGTGAGAACAGAATGCTTGACTATACAGTGGTACCTCAGGTTAAGTACTTAATTCGTTCCGGAGGTCCGTTCTTAACCTGAAACTGTTCTTAACCTGAAGCACCACTTTAGCTAATGGGGCCTCCTGCTGCCGCCGTGCCACCAGAGCATGATTTCTGTTCTCATCCTGAAGCAAAGTTCTTAACCCGAGGTACTATTCCTGGGTTAGCGGAGTCTGTAACCTGAAGCGTATGTAACCTGAAGTGTATGTAACCTGAAGCGTATGTAACCTGAAGCGTATGTAACCTGAGGTACCACTGTATAGGCCTTTGGTCTCCTCCAGCAGGGCTCTTCTTATGTTCTTAGTGAAAAGTGTGCATCTACAAGTTTAAGCAGATTGCCTCCAAAGAAGAAGATACAGTGGTACCTCGGGTTAAGAACTTAATTCGTTCTGGAGGTCCATTCTTAACCTGAAACTGTTGTTAACCTGAAGCACCACTTTAGCTAATGGGGCCTCCTGCTGCCGCCACACCACCGCTGCTCAATTTCTGTTCTCATCCTGAAGCAACGTTCTTAACCCGAGGTACTATTTCTGGGTTAGTGGAGTCTGTAACCTGAAGCGTATGTAACCTGAAGCATCTGTAACCCAAGGTACCACTGTACTCCCCAAAGCCTACCACACAAAAAAAATCCACATTCAAAATGGCAGCCAAGCAGGTATTGTAATGCCTTGTGATTTAATTTGTAAAAGGAAAGAAAAACCCACGTGACCCAAAACAACAACGGAGATCATCTGAGGGAGAATTAGTGGTTCCCCCAAGGACTGGAAACACAACTCATTTCAGCAAGGAGTCACACTCTGTGGAAAAACCTTCCTCCCTTCAGAAGCAGATACCGTACCATCCCTGATAAGTTTCAGATGACAGGTTAAAACCACTGTTTCAGGAGGTTTTTGCACCACGAATGTTGTTGTATTGTTCCTATCTCTGATGTTTTAGTCTATGTTTTTAATTTTTTATATGGGGGGGGGGGTTTAGCTGCTTTGAGACATATAATGAAAAGTGGGGAATAAATGCCTTAAAATAAACAAGTAAAATAAAATATTCCAAACAGGATACCATGTTATTTCGCTGCATCAAGTATGACACACTCTTTCTTGTTTTAACAAAAAATGTTGAGATTTTGTTTGTTTGCTTGTTATTATTAATTGAATCTACACCCCACCCTTCCTCTTGATGGAGCCCAGGGCAGAAAACAAATCTACAAAACAATTTTTAAAGCATTCTAAAAAGTTAAAACATTCTAACAACACTTAACAGCTAAAAACATTTGAGCAACCTGCAACACCTAACATTTGTGCAAAAGTTAAGTGGTTTAGACGCAAAATCCAAAATTGAATCCGCACTGATAATCTGCCATTTCTTTTAAAAATTATTTAGCTACCTTTGCATTTTCTATTCTAAAATAGAGCAGATTCGGAGAGCAAAGAAACGCTTTTAAAAAATAAATCCCGCCACAATTTCCTACAATATGCATAACAAGTCCAACCCTGATCCTTCACAAAATGAACACTGAGGCTGCTCTCCAAAACATACTGGCTAGGAAGAAAGCGCCATTAAACCAAGTGGAGGGATTCATAGCTCAGCTGTAGAGCTCCTACTTAACATGCAGAAGGTCAAAGGTTCAGTCCCTGGCAGCTCCAGTTAAAACGATCAGATAGGAGATGATGAGCAAGACCTCTTTCTGCCTGAGATGATGATGATGATGATAAAAATTTTATTTATACCCTGCCCTCCCCAGCGAAGACCGGGCTTAGGGCGGCTAACAACCAATAATAAAAACAAGCTGATTAAAATACAATTTAAAAGATTAAGATACAATGTTAAAACAATTAGGGAGCATCTCATCATAGGAGGAGAAAGGAAAAAGAAAAAGGGGGAGGGAATCACACTGATTCTGAGCCAAAGGCCAGGTGGAACAACTCTGTCTTACAGGCCCTGCGGAAAGAGATCAGATCCCACAGGGCCCTGGTCTCATGAGACAGAGCACTCCACCAGGCCGGAGCCAGTGTTGAGAAGGCCCTGGCTATGGTTGAGGCTAATCTAACTTCTTTAGGGCCCGGGACCTCTAGGGTGTTGCTATATATGGACCTTAAGGTCCTCCATGGGGCATACCAGGAGAGGCGGTCCCGTAGGTACGAGATCCCAAAGAGATGCTACTAGTTGCAGTAAGGTATACTGGGCAAAATGGGGCAAGTTACATTCCTACCTTAATCCTGACATTTTAATTCACAGCTGTGTACATTTTTATTTCTATTTGGTAGAAGGTGCTGCACAAATATCCCGCTGCAAACACAACAATTTCTGTGGCTGGAGAGCCATTGCACAGAAGCAACAGAATGCAAAAACTTCCCACCGTGATCTCAGCCTAAAATGCGAGCATGTTAAATTTTTAATGAATGAATTATAACCGCGTTCCGAAAAAGAAAGTATTTGACCTTTTCTCAGCGTTGTGTTGCAATGGCTCAGAATGCTGCCTCATCTCTCGGTGACTCATTACAGAAGGTTTCTATCCCATAGATGCTTTGATTATTTCCCCCCGCCTTGTTTTTGCTAAAAGCCTTTAATATTAATCATAATCTCACCGGTTTCTGGAAACCTAGCCGATAATTATGTCCTCTCACTACAGGGGCGTTTAGCAACTAAGTGCCATCAAGCAGCCCTAGGATGGTGTTATTGAAGCATTATTGTGATATCAGAAGGCTATGACTCACATGTAGGGTCTTTCAAAACACACTTGGCTTGGAGTATAGTGGAACAGGGAAGGGAAGGCAACCCCCCCCCAAAAAAAAAATCCTCTTAATGACATGAATAAATTAGTGCACATCTCCCCATTGGTTTTTAAAGTAGCCCTTTAAATTATACTCGAAATAAGTGGACAAAACGAAAATGAGCATGAGGTAATAATTCAAGTAGGTAAAACACCAATTTAATCGGAGCAGAAAAGGTTTATCTTCCTCCAGGAAACCTCACATTACCAGAAAGAGAAATCAAGGAAGCAAATTAAAGCTATTCTAACAAATCACATGTTATTCATCTTAAAACTCCTCAACCGGAAAAGGGAAATGAAATGGTAGAAGTCATGGAAAGGGGCAGGAAAGAGGAAGGGAGGAGGCCTGCAAGAAATTAAACAGAAAACTTTCAGTAGCTTTGCTTAGTAGCATTTGAATAAATGTAGGAGATAGAAGCTTCTGCATTCTAATTTTAAGCATCAGGAGACCTAAACATTAAAACCGGAGTCACCCTGGAAATTCTTATCTAAAGCTGAATTAAGAGTGGACTTGAAGATTCCCTCCTCAGATGAAAATGGAGAAGAGCCCAAAGAATTTTAATAAGGCACCTCAGGTTTCTCTAGAACAGGGCGGTCCAACTTTTCGTACCAGTGGGCTGCAAGAGTACTTCGACACAGAACCTGTGGGCTGCACACGGTCTTGTCACATGGAGGGTGGGGAGCAAGGCCAAAATTTCACACAAACACACCCACACATCCACACCCACCCACCAGCATTCATGCTGCCCTCACAAAGATGGGTGAGGTGCCAGGATTGGAGAAGGGGGTACCAGATTCTGGAAGGGTCTAAGAGCCCTCCCACTTCCTTCCCTGAGCTGGGAAAGCACTAACTAGGCTTTGGAAGGGAGGCTGGAGGACTCTAGGCCCCTGTCAGAGCCCTCACGCCTCCTTCCCAACTTTTCCCTTTTCTTGCGAGGAATCCTATTCAGAATAAGGGAATTTCCCTTAAAAAACGGGAAAGGTTGACAGCTATGCTCCTTCCAAAGCCCAGGACCTCACATACCTGGCTTTGGGAAAGCAGCACGAGGGCTTCAGGTGGCAAATGTTGTTGAGGGCCACCAAAAAAGGCCTCAAGGGCCATACATTGGATCACCCTGCCCAAGAATGTTCCACACACCTCTAAAAGTTCATATATGGGCCAAATTTCATGAGCGGATTTAATGAGGAGTTTCAAGGGAGGATGAAAGTATTTTGATATGGCTAGCTGAAAAATGTTTCACACATCCATTATTAAAACCAGAAATGAATGATCTGATTAAAATATGTGTTATTAATATCTCAAGCATATTGATCCTCATTCTGTCACAGTATTGACATGTCACATATATTCATACATAAAGCCATTAAAATTACTAATAAAAACACAAATCAATAACCACCAGTGGCCCCAGAAATAAAATCCCCCCCAATGGTGCCTCCCATTCTATGAATTCAAAAACAGATTTGCCAGGTTCATTTTATTGATCATGGACAGTCACAGAGAAGCTTTCATCTGGCCTCTGTGACAAAAACTGTCATCAGTTGACGTTCTGCCACCAGTCATGTATGCATTGTGTATATCTGGTTGATTAACAAAAAATTGCTGTGTTTTTTATTCATTTCTAAACATGCTTAGGATTATGCAGCAAGTAT